GGGCGCGGGGAGGTTCGCGGGGTGGGTCGCTGGCGGGTCGCAGATCGGGTCGCGAGTCGGGTCGCCCGGGGCTTGCGGGGGGTCGCGGGCGAGGGCGACGACAGCAACAACAGTCATCTTAAATGTGTTCGCTCTTATCTGCTCGCGTGCCTTGCAACATGTGTATCCCAAACCTTCGGTGCCCGCCCCCTTCGTCGTCGATCATACCGCCCATGGGGGACTATCTTCTTTACTCACCTTTCACGTGTAGTTGGCGCAGCCCCGGAAACAGGAGAAGGGAGGGAGGAGGAAGGGACCTGGGGGAGGGAGAAGGCTGGAGCACGAGAGAGATTACCAGGACGAGGGCGAGGAGCAGAGAGAGGCGGAAGAACCAGACGAGCGGTCGGGCGAGCAGACCCCAACGGGCGGGTCGAGCGGGCGGGTCATTTCATCATCGTACGTGCATGATTCGCTCGGAGGGCGACAGCGCGATTTCCATGTAAATTGTGATGAAGTCAACAGCGAAGGCGTGATTCCTGAGTGTCGATGGCGTCTCAATAACTTCGGAGGACCTCTCATGCGAGAGCACGATTTCTGTATCAGTTTCGAGACACTCCAGCGCGAGATTGCGGTTTGGGATACCTTGCGAGGAAATTTCAGGCGGGAGCTGCTGTAATTCGGAGGCCTGGGGCGCAGTCTGAGGCCCATTACTCCCCCTCGTATAAAACACTGTGCGAGCCCACGGAGGGGCACTTTGTTTGAAAAACACAGACAGGGTGCCCGAGGGGGGGGGTCCGCAATTACTCTTCAGAAGTGGAAGTCAACGCAGCAGACATCCGCACCGCGGAACCCCTCGTCATGCACGCGCCTCTGGAGAGTACGGTGGGGGCCCATGCCAAGAACCACCCTGCTTGCCTCAAGGGTGCCCTGGGTTTCTTGGGTTTCGACCGTTGTGCTGTGGACAGGCGTGGCGCCCCCGCACCAGAAATCCATGGACGTCCTGGGGTCTCAAGGTCGGTGAGCCTCCCGTGGAACGTGTCTTGTGGAGAAGCTCCTATCATATGGACAGTACAATCAAGGAAGAAGGACAAATCACCCGGACCAGATCATCGGCGTTCGCTCAGCGGCCCGGGGCGTTTCCTGAGCAGCCCTGCCCTGTTCGATCCCGTCGTTGGGCGCGGTTGCGAACGCACTTCGCGTGTCGGGGTGGCCATTTTTTGGGGGGGGGATCTCTTGACCTCTATCAACTTCGCTCGGGCCCCCCGCTCTGACGCTCGCCGCCCCCCGCGAGGACCTGCGGGGCCTGCACGCTGCAGAACGGCGCCGCGAGCACCGCCTGCGCCGCGTGCGGCGCCGCGCGGGCGCTGCCCGGCGCGCGGGCGGCGCCGCCGTGGCGGTGGCGGTGCGCCGGCTGGGGGGGCAGAACCAGTAGTAGGTCGGGCCTGTCCCCCTACAGGGGGATTTTCGACGAAAAATCAAAGATACCCCAAAAAATGGTAAAAAGAAACATCAAAAAATAGTCAGGGGATTCTTGTTGTTTGAATGCTTTTTGACATGTTTGGGGTATTGTGGGGGGTATTTTCTACGTTTCGTCGATAACCCCCCTGTAGGGGGACACGCCCGACATAAAACAAGTACAGTGGAGACCTTAGTTCACCGAGCGCGTATATGTATATGTGTATATACATATATATATATATATATATATATATGTATATATGTATATCCCAAATCCTCCACGGTGGATCCAGGCTATTTGCGAGTAGTGACTGTGCGAGTCGTGGAACGTGCTGGCCTATCAGTGGGCCCTGAGAATGGCAGGGCCGTTGTTTCACCGTTTCCGAAAAAGTGTCTCTTGAAAGTGGAAGCGGGCAAAAAAAGCGGCGACCCGTAGCGAAAACAAAAACGGCTCCGGGATTGGAACCGGAGCCAGGAATGTCAACAAAAACGGCGACGGAACCAGTAAAAAGACGGCGTCGGAACTGGCAAGAAGACGGCAAAACGGATTGGTGAAAAACGGCCTTGTCGTTCCCAGGGCCCTTTAAGGCGGAGACCCATGCCAAGAGACACCCTGCTTGCCTTAAGGGTGCCCTGTGTTTCTTGGGTTTCCGTTGTTTTGCTGCGGAGAGCACGATGTTCCACACCGAAAACATCCATGGATTTCCTTTGGTCTCAGGGCCGGGTTTTTTGTGGAAGGTTTCTTGTGGACTGGCCTCCGCTGTATCAATGACACGTCGCTGGGAGGAGCGCAGCAAGCGTTTTGGTTGGAATCTGTGTTTCGACATTTGGGCCGAAGGGTGGGGGAGGGGTGTTTCGGTCTGGGCTTCGGCGGGTGCGTATGCGATCTGCCTCAATTAGCAGGGCTGGACCTAAACGCTGTTCTGCTGGACTTCGGTTGTGTTCTGCTTTTCGTTTTGGGAGGGCGGTACAGGAAAACAGGTCGAGCAAACCGAAAAACAAAAGAAGCCAACACGAAAACCAACGTTTAGGTCCAGTCCTGGTTGCCAAGAGCAGCCTCTCACCACCCACCAAACCACCCCAACCCAACCCGAAGGCCTCGATTTGCCCTCCATTTCCAGTGGGGGGGGATCAGGGAACGTCGGAAAAAAAACACATGGTCCCCGTACCCCCCCCCAACCCGAAATTCGGGTCAAATTCGTGCCTTGGGGTTGGGTTGGGGTGGTCATGTAGGTAGTCAGCCTCCAAGCGCAGCCAAGATCTGGTCTAAATCTATGGGGGGGGAGGGGCGGGGGCCCGCGCAGGGCGGCGTAACAACAGATCTACAGCAGCCGGCGTGCTACTGCCAGGCGAGCGCACACGTGCATCACGGAGGCGGGGATTCGCGGCGGGCCCCGCTTCCCTGGGAAATCGCGGATTTGGGGAGGGCACCGGCCCCGATCTTAGGGAGGGCACCGCCCCCGATCCATGGATTTGGCGACCGCGCGCCAACTCCATGGATCGCTGATCCATGTTTGCGCGCCCCCGACACGGTTGAAGAAACAACCAGGCCTTCGTGGCAGGACTACCGACGGCTGCGGGTCATGGAGGCTCGGTCTCCTTCTCGAGTCGGGGATGGTCTTCGCCGCGAAGTATGCGGGAGCAAAGGTTTTCGGATTCTGAGGTTTGCCGCAGCTTTTGGCCTCACGGTCGGACTTCGGGACCCCGGATAAGGGGAGCCACTTACTCCAGATTTCGTAATAAAGGGAGGGGGGTCTCATTTCGGGGGGGTCTCTTCCAGGCTATCTTGGAGGGCCTGGGGGGTCTGGGGACGATGTTGTGGAGGGTTCTCCCACGGGGGGGGGGTCTGAAATGGCTTGCCTTGGAGGGTCCAGACCCCCTCCCTTTTATTACGAAATCTGGAGTAGTGTTTGGGTCCCGAAGCCAACTAACATAAACCATCATCAAATCACCAAAACCCATTCTGCCGCACGTGGCTGATGTTTTTCTTCGGGTGGCGGCGGTTCCAGGTAGTGGAATGGAGGGGTGGGGCGTCCCCTGGTGCACAGCACCAAACCAGGCCCCCTTCAACCCAGCCCTGCCAACGCCCGACAGGAAGGAAGCGGATCCTTAGGTTTTTCTCGGGGTCCGGATGTGTGTTCGCCGTTTTTTGTTGCCGCGGGACCTTGAGAGAGCGACTCAGGGAGAAGTCACTCGGTCTTGGGGGAAGGCCCCGCCCTGATGTCCAGAACCCATTTCTTGCAGGGCCAGTCTCTCTCGAGCGAATTGTTTCCGGAAGCTCCCATTCCCAGGCAGTGTTCAGAGTGCGCAGGTGGGCCCTGTGGGGCCTGATTTTTTCCACGCCACGTCGCCGATGCATCGGCGATGCATCGGCGACGTCGGCGCGATCCTCCGACCCTAGCTGCTCGGACCCCATCTGGGGAGGTCTCTACTAACTAAGGCTTCCTCGGCCGTTCGGCGCGATTGAAAGTTCACGACGAGGCGCAAATCTCTTGAAAGCACTCAGGAGCCCCAAAACTCTTAGAATCACACCCACATGGTGGAAAACGTCCCCACAACACCCCGCCGGCACTGACTGGCGACGCCGAGGAAGTTGGGCCAGGGGCCGCTTTCCGCCGCGAGGGTTCTCGTGCCCCAAATGACTCGGAGGTCGATGAAGCCCTCACCCTGTCGATTCACGAGTTGCCCTGTATCTGAACGTTCCCACAACACCCTGCCGGCACTGTTTGACGACGCCGAGGCGGTTAGGCCAGGGGCCGCTTTCCGCCGCGAGGGCCCGCTTCTCGTGCCCCGAAGGGAATCGGAGGTCGATGAATCAAGGGAGGAAAACCCACCCGGACCCGGCAGCTGGCGTTTACTAAACGGCCCTGGGCGTTTGTCGACCAGCCCTGTCCTGTTCGATCCCGTCTATGGGCGCGCTTACTCGACGACATCGCGTGTCGGGGTGGTGATTCGGGGGTTCGATATCTGACCTCTCTGATGAAACCCCCACCCTGCCGATTCGCGAGTTGCCTCTGTGTCTGCTCTCGCGAGAGGGCTTCTGCGGGCCCTGCGCCCGCGCGGGGCTCCGGCCCTGGGGGGGGGTGATTTCGCAGGGAGGCGCTCCGAGGGCAGCGTTGGGGGGCGGAAGGTTCCAGGGGGGACGCCGCCTCCCCAGACAGGATCGCGCCGTCACGTAGATCAGAGCGGGAGTCTTTTAGCGGCCAGGGTTAGGTCGGGCTTGTCCCTCTACAGGAGGAAGATTCAGAAATTGTTAAAATTTGGTCCGGGGAGGTTTTGTTGATCACTTTTGAGGGGGGGGGAACATCGACCTGGACTCGAAGGCTCAGACAGGATCGCGTCGTCACAAAAAGGAGGGCGGGAGGTTTTCGGCTAGTTGTCGGCCGCGGGGCGCCCTCGCCGGGTCTCGGGAGCTTTAAAAATCGACTCAGGACGGAAAACCGGTCCCGGGGAAAGGGTCGGGACTTCCAGGGACGCCATCGTTCTTGAAAAACCCAGAGATCCAACGTATTGAACAAAAATCAAGACGGATGTTTTTTCAAGTTTCGGCCTATATGGGCCCTCGCCGGGCCCTGGGACCGTCAAAAAACGGTTCAGGATGAAGCACCGGTCCTGGGGAATGGGTCGAGACTTCCGGGGACCGCGTATTACAAAAAATACGACATCCGAACTCTGGGAATCAGGACGTCGCATGTTTGGGTCTGCCTCCCATCCCCCCGTGATCGCCGATGCAGGGGCCCGAGGGTCCTACCCCGCCCTGCGGCTTGCGGATTCGCTCTCGGGGGCCCATCGCCGATCTGTCTTCGTCGTGGCCGTGTCCCCGACGCAGCCGATTTGGGCCAGACTTGGCGCTGCATTACCAGCCTGGAGCATATCCCTATCCCTATGCTGGGCATCTCCTCATCACGATGCCGATCTTAGGGATTCCCTTATTTTTTGAGGGCGAATCCCTAAGATTGTCATCGCCTTTTGGCGTGTCAATCTTAGGGATAGGATTAAGTTCGAGGCTGGTAACTGCAGTCGTGGTCACCCCTTCAGGGCCCAGCAGCGCACGCCCAGTCCCTGTCGGGGAGGGGCCCGCGCTGCCTCGTCACCGCTCATCGAGTCAGGCACCGGCGTTGCGGCGCTCGCATGTCGAAAGGCCGCGCGCGTGGCTGGCAGCCTGGAATCCAATGTGGCCACAACGTGCAACATTGCGAAAGATCACGGCCATAACCCCAGACCTATATTCTCATTTTCGAGCCAGATCGACCTGTGATGGTCCGGGGGTGCGGGAGCCGGGCAGAAACGCCAGGCGTGAGTGAATAGCAACGCCCAGATTACAATCGTATGGGTAGGACGGGGGATGCATCCCGAGACATGCGACGTCCCGATTTTTTCAGGGCGGCGTCCCCGGAAGTCCCGACCCTTTCCCCAGGACCGTTTTTTTTTATCCTGAGTCGTTCTTTGAAGCTCCCGAGGCCCGGCGAGGGCCCCCGAAGGCCAAACACTAGCGCAAACCTCCCGTCCTGATTTCTGTTACGACGCGATCATGTCTGGGTCTTCGAGTCCAGCTCGATGTTCCCCCTCCCTGGCCGCCCCCCCCTCCCTGGCGTTGCCCTGACAAGAAGGTGCGCCGCCTGCACCCTGGAGAACGCGCCGGGCAGCCCAGCGTGCGCCGTTTGCGGCGCCAGCGCGGAGTCGGTGGCGGTCAGGATCTCGGGAGGGGGGGGCAACGATAGGGGGGGATAGGCACAGGGTGTGATGTTCCAACCTAGTTTAGCCTCGATCACCAAAAAGAGTTTCGAGCACCAAGAAAGTACTGATCCTTGGGGTTTGTTAGTGTCGGGCTGTGGGAGGCGGCACTGTCTCGACACTGTTTCGACACTTTTCTGGGTGCTCGAATTTTTGTTTCTGGGACGTGACCCGTAAGTACGATAGGAGCAACATTAAAGCATAGGGGGGGGATGCATCGACCCCCAATCGCACATTGATCGCCGATAGGGGGCCCTCAACCCAAACCTGCACAGGAAGGCTCGGATTCACGATCGGGGGCCTGCTCATCGGCGATGCATCGCCGATTCAAGGATATCGGGGGGGGGGGCACGGCCCGATTTCGATTCCTTCGATTCGATTCGATTCGACCTCAAAGGCTTTCAATTCCGACTCGACTCGACTTCTGGGCTCCGATCTTTTGTTGGAGGCCTAATTACTAACCTGCCGATTCCTGCCGATTCGACTTCTCTCCCGACTCGGCTGCCGATTTCCGCCGATCAGACTCATTCGACTATGGGCTCTCCTGGGCTGCCGGCGCGGGTTGGGTGGCAACGCTAGTGGGGCAGTGCGTCACAGCGACGGTTTGCATTCGTGGTCCTCACGCTGGGCGTTCTCGCGCGCCTTCAGGCCTCCAGACGTGCACAGACTGAGCACGCGGTCGGTAAGACTTGTGCATTTGATCACGGTGTGGTTCAGGTGGCTGACGCTTTTCCGCCAACCCCAGAAGCGGTCGCTGTCGGTTTTGGACAACGGCAGGCGTGGGTCATGCAGCAAGTTCTACTTTCGTGCACAAGTTCGGGCATGCGACAGTGTGGTCGGAGGGTGCCAGCGATGGGCCCGCACCGATCCTGGCCAGGCCGATCATGGTCCCATGGTGGCCAGGCTGGAGGCAAGATGTTCTTGTTTGGATTTCCGCCCGTTCATTCCTGTTGTCTTGCCTCGGGATGCGGTCTAGCAGCAGCGCCTCGCCGAAAGCGTTCCAGGTTTGCTCGAGTCGTCCGAACTGCCGCCAGACACCCGAGTTTTGACGCAACGGAAACCCTTCGCGCGGTATCCTGCGGAGGAGGGCCAGTCGAGACAATGGGCGACGCTCTCTTGTGTGAGTCCGTCTTTTTGTTGTACACCTTAGGCGATGCTTAAGAAAACTTAAGTTTTCGTCCAGAGTCTCGATTATTCTTAACGTTTCAATGTAAATCCCAAGATTTTGATAGACGTTCTGGTTTTTTATTCAATTTCTGAGACTATGAATTTCTTAACCCTGTTAGTGCGTGCACGGGAATGATGAGAAAGGTTTTTCGGGTGTCGTGTCCAGGCTTGGCCCCTCGCGTTGCTCATCGCAACCGCTCGGGCTCAAGCGTCAAAGGCACGGGTTCTCGCTCGATGGCCGTCACACCATCCCAGGCAGTACTCTTCACCTGGATTGCCGCGATAGCCCCCTCGCTCTCGGACTGGGTGGCCGGCTTCGCTGCTGGGCGCTCCGCGCTGGCAGCCCCAGGCCGCGCGGCGGCCGTCGGCTGGGGTTCGGAGCCTCCGCTGTGGGACTGCTCCTGCTGGCACCTGCCCGTCGCCAGTGGCGCCCGAGCCGCCGGGCCTGCCCTCGCTGGGTCCCTCAGTGCGGCTCGCGCCCGACTGTGCCGCGGCGATCGAGGTCCTCTGGCCGTGCGTGGGACGCCTCGCGTTCTCGGCCGACCTCGCTCTCGCCGGGCGCCTGGGGTTCGGGGTCCTCGAGGAGCTCTTCGCGCTGTACTTGAGCCGCTGTGCTGCGTGGCCCGACTCGACGCTGCTCCGGGCGATTCGCAGCGGAGCGAGATTGGCAGTCGGGGACGCAGCTGCTCGTGTCGCTCGTCCCTGATCTCGGGTTCAGGCACGAGCGCGTCATCATGCGGGCATGTGACGTTTGTCCCTGGATCGTGTACACGGACGGCGGCGACATGTAGGTGGAGAAAGGAGAAGGACGGGGACAAAGGGTACCCTCTGACGACGGGTCAGTCGTCGAGGTCTCTGCCGTACTACGTGGCGGAGGTTGTGCCGCTCGCAATGTTCCTGACGGACGACGTATTGCACGGGCTGATCGTGGAGGCCCGCATCGAGGTGGCGTCCTTGCAGGAGTCTGAGCCCGATCGCCACACGCCAGCAGGCCCGTCACACTGCCTGTCGGTGGATGGCCGCCAGCGCCCGCCCCGTCGCCGCCGTCCCCAGGGCGAGCAGGTGAGGCTCGCCGGCAAGGAAAGCAACCCACCTGTCGCCGACGCGGGTGCGGGAGCCGCCGAGTCACCTGGCGGCGCCGGGTACGCGGGCGGCAGCATGCTGGCCGCCGACGGCGAGCGTCATCGCTGGCTGGCCAGCAAGCCTGGTCGGATCGGGGAGTTGGGAATCCCTGTGCTGCACGCGTACGTCATGATCGGGCTGGGTGACCGCAGCGTCGCCGACATCGACGGCGAGACAATGCCGATGCGGAGCGCTTCTGGGACCAACGTGGCCGACTACGCGACCATGAAGACCTCGGCCTACGAGGTGGCGGTTCGCTACGTCGGCGGCGCGCCCATCTACTTCGGGCGGCGTGTTGAGATCGCGCCGAGCCGCGCGCCTTCCCACGGCGATGGATCCGAGCCGACCGCCCCTGCAGACGCCGCCGAGCCGAGCGATGTTCGCACTTCGTGGGAGGACACTGACGCCATGAACGACCCGCTCAAGTCATGGCGTAATGATGTCATGGAGAGCTACCCCACTGTGTGGACCGACAGCCCCGTGGAGGCGCGGGTCTGCCCGATGTTTATCCCCAGTCACTCTGATCGGCATGGCGACATCGTCAGGAGGTGCCTTGACCTCTGGTCTCGCTCGAAGATTCTCTGGCCGCACGAGCAGGTCATACACGAGAGCTCCGTCCCCTACGAGGTCATCTACGAGGGGGGCTCCTACGACCAGCTCAACAAGCCGTCGCTGTTCATCTTCGAGTGCATAGCGCGCCGCTTCCAGAGTAGTGTGGACGTGTACTCGGGCGACTCCTCTCGGCCGCAGTGGGCCAGCGCAGGGCTTCACTCCAGCGTGGGTTTTGCGGTGGTCATGGTCGCGCCCGAGCTGGAGCACTACGTGGCCATGACGGCCGTGGACGAGGCCGAGGTCGAGTCCATGCGGGCGCAGGCCCGCATCCTTTTGATCTCTGCCGACGCCGCCGCTGCTGGCGGACCCCCTGCCGCTGGACGCAGTACACCTGTCGCCGCCGTGGCGGGCCAGCCCTCCAAAGGATTGGGCCGTGGAGCCCCGAGGGGAGGCGAAGGCGCCGCTGCCGCGGCGGAGACTCAATGAGTGATGTGACCCTCGGCGGTGGGACTGGCCCAACCCCCGCCGTTCGCCTTCCTGGGCTTGCACGCGGATCCGCGGAGATCTTCCCTTTGCCCGACGACTCCAGCCTCGTCGCGGATTTCTGGATCCACCTTCAGGGGCGTGCCCAGCGCCGGTTCGTGAGGGATTGGCGGGAGTGTGTGCGCTCATTAAATTGGTTGTGGGGTGCTGGTCATCGTGAGGTCGCCCGACGTGCTCGCGGCGACGTCCATCCATGCCGTTTTCAACTTCAACGTGAGGTGCTGGTGCGAGTCGCCCAGGGGGTCCAGACGTATCTGGACCCACCCTCCGACCTTTCTCCGAAGGAGGCCTTTCAGGGGCTACTTCGAGGCCGCGGGGTCTACGCCACCGAGACGGCCTACACTACCCTGGCACCCTACCAACGGGGCGCGGTTTCTCTTCCTTGTGACGTCTCGACGGCCCCGGCCGTGGGAACCTTGGTCACGGGGCGCGCCCTCGAGTATCTGGTAGAGGCAGAGGAGCAGATGATCAGGGCCGATGCTGAGGTCCAGCTTGACCGTGAGACGAATGGCGAAATCAAGATCTACACCGACCCGCTGCTCGCCAATAGTCGCCGCCGGTACTCCACCTTCGTGAAGGATCTGAAGCGGAAAGGCTTGGTGGGCTTCACCCGCGACCCCAAGGAGTTCGTGGGTGTTTTCTTCGTCTGGAAGAAGGAGCGCGCCTCCATGAGGATGGTGCTCGACTGTCGCCGCTCCAATCAACGTTTCGTGACCCCTCCTGGGGTCGAGCTGCTGTCGACCGAAGGGCTTGGTCGGATCGAGTGCGACACGGAGCAGACCGGCACATTGCCCATCTTCCTGGGCAAAGCTGACGCGAAGGATTGCTTCCACCGCATGATGTTCGGCAACCACCTCTCCGAGTACTTCTGCTATCCGGGCGGCATGGCCAAGGAGTTTGGCATCGTCGGGCAGCTGGTGGAGGGGGTGCCTGCTCGCGCTGACGATTACCTCTGGCCATGCGCCCTCGCGTTGCCCATGGGCTGGACGTGGTCGCTCTATTTCGCTCAGGTGGCCAACCTCGGCCTGGTGGAACGGGTCCCCGCGGTGGCGTCGAGTTGCGCGGCCACCGATCGAGGGCCCCCCATCGTGCTGTCTCCGACCTCCTCCTGGCACTACGTATACGTCGACAACGTTGGGCTCATGTCGCTCGATGCCTCCTACGTCAAGGGGGCTCTGGCGGACACCATCGCGGCCTTCGACGCCGCAGGCCTCGTCATGCATGGCATCTCGGTGGACTCCGACACCGCCGAGGCGCTGGGAGTGACGCTCGATGGCCAGAAACACCAGACCCTCGTCAACCACCGGCGCTACTGGAAGGTGAGACTCGGCCTCCGGTGGGCCCTCTCGTTGCGGCGCCTGGCAGGGCAAAAGCTCGAAGTATTGCTTGGCCACTGTACACTCGTTGGTTTGATGTGCCGGGAGACCCTGTCCGTGTGGCACACCGTCTACACCTTCATCCGTGAGCGGTACTGGGCCAAGAGCGACATGTGGGAGTCCGCACGTCAGGAGCTCGAGTGCTTCCTCGGGCTGATGCCGCTCATTCGGTCTGAGTGGGATCGGCCGTGGCTCACGCA